ATATGCCCGATGATCTCTTCCTTTGGAATTTGGAGCTCACACATACAAAGGCTAAGCGTTGGTAGAACTTCAAGCCTCCAGGCTATCACATGTTTGCTCTTCGCCTAGCATGAGTGTTCCTGTGAGAGATCCTACCCTGCAGATATTCATATGAAATGCATTGACGTAGGTACCAGTTGTATTTAAGGGCAATCACTTGCTAATGTGGGCTCTTGTATTAATGAACTATGATGATGTATAATCTGTGCGTTATCTGTCGAGTTGACTGGTTAATTTATTCCTGGTGCTGTTTTTGTTGATTCCTTGTGTGATATGGATGTTCAAGGCGTCAACACACAAGCCCAAATCCACAATGTGAGCTGGATGTTTGCTAACCAAAGCACCTCAACTGACAAGGGACTCACTGAATTATTCTCTGTACGGATTTCTATGCCACCCAGGCACTATCAAAAAAGTAACCAGCTGCAGCGATGCAACCCATACTTCCTCAAGTTACGACCGGCATTTTGTCATAGCAGGATATCATTTCATTTCATGACACTGATAATACCCATGTTCTTTAGCTCAACACATTTCCAAACAATTTGTCCGTCTTAGTCCGCCACTTGACAGTTGCTCAGCTCCGAGAACCCAGTCCCGCGTAACAACGAGCGTTCACTAATCGACCCGACTTGGCACGCGTTGCATCGTGGTATCTTGGCGCGAGCTGAACGCCAGGTCATGTGCCTTAGTCTCAGCCAAGGGTGTAGCCATTGGCTCCAAGTCAAGCCATGATCAGGCAACAACAGCCTCTGACGGAATTTCGTTAATTGATCGCAAGAGTTGGGAATAAAACAAGAGAATTGTCAAGAGTGGAGGTAGCTAGGAGCCCGAGGTATATATTTGAGTGCTGCGGCAAATGCTCCTCGAAAACCAGGCCATCCAACTTATACCAGAGCCATACACCATTAGCAATTCAAAACACGGTCACCCACAATGTGTGAAGAAAGCCTCGTCCAGGTAATATCGAAATGACTATACAACATACCAAGCTAACATCAACCAAGGAAGCACTCGGTCAAATTTGCTGGCTCGAGGTTCCAGTGCGTGATGTTCCTCGGGCCAAGGCCTTCTACGTAGAACTCTTTGGCTGGGAGTTTGTACCAGAGCCTCAAAAGGCCGTCGGCGACTGCGTCAAGAGTATGCACTTCTTCAACAAGGGCAAGACCCTCCACGGGGCATTTCTGGAACATGACGAGGAATATCATGTCATCAACAACAATCCCGACAAACCAGGTGCTCTGCCCGTCCTGCCAACCCTATGCGTTCTGGATTGCGAAGAGACCCTGGCCAAGGCAAATGCGATTGGTGGCAAGACTGCCATGTAAGTGCGCCCGCTCCATCACGAGGTGGAAAGCCTGAAGCGATTTGAGTGAGCATCCATATTAACCGTCGCCAAGTCCAAAGACGGCCATTGGAGGAGGGATGGGGTGTTTTGCTCGGGTGATTGATACCGAAGGTAACATGATCGGTCTCTGGTCTCAGAAATGACAAGTGAGCGTGGGAATGGAAGATAAGGTTGACGTTTGTGACTCGGTACCTGCTTATCTCAACCAAGATATGATTCAATGCCATACTGCTCGAGTTGCTTCTGATAATTAATGTACCAATGTACTCTACCTTGTGTATGCAATTCTCAAAGTTTAGCCCGAATCCATGACCACGATTCAGAATATTATCCAAAATATCCAAACGGTGGAAAATATCAGACAAAAATGTAGACTCGCTCGGCAAAACTTAAAGACAAAGCTTGACGGACGCCAAGCAGAGCCAAGTATTGTTTGTCACTGGTATATGAATTATTGGGCGGAACCAACTGACACGAGCTCGCATGAGTCGTATCAGACGCCAATTAGCAGGGTTGGTCGTAAAAAACTGACATGCAGAGAACTTAAAAAGCGAGCTCTGGAGCCTGTGGTGATTCCTCGCCAAGATGTGTAGAATTTGGCCGTGTCTCATTCGTGGACTAACTGGCTGGATAAGCCGTCTGTAAGGGACCATGCTTCAGCCTGGGCCGATTATATGGGATGGGAGACGTCAGGAATTTGACGAAACACGACGGGGTAAGGATTTCACGTCAAGTAATGTATCTGTAACAGACGCGCCCCCGGAAACTTAGAGTTCCGATACTGAGATCGTTATAGCTGGAGAAGAAAGTCCTATGTATCGAAGTCTGAGTATCTGGGTACCAGGTATTGAACCAATGTTTTGTCACAGAACAGCCGCGAAACATATACGATACGACGCTGAAATACCGTTCAACGGCAGATCCAGATTGACTTTTCGACGGCATTGGATGCATCCTGCAGAGGCGACCTAGTGATACATATGTACCATAGACGGAAAATCGCTTCTGTGCGTATCCGGCACATTGACCATATTGGGAAGAATCTATCTACTTGGAGCATGTCCAAGCGACATTCGGGAAATACGACCGCAGAACGAACTATGACAGACTGCCAACTCCCGTGACGACGACGTAGTATCAAGTCTTGCGGAGATTGCTTATGAGACGAATACGTAACGTCCCTCGAGCCTCTGTAACTTTTCCGTTCGTGTTCCGTTCCATGAAGCTCTGCCGCGACTTAGACGAAGGAGACTAGAGACATGGGATCAGATAGCCGTTAGCCACTCAAGACTAACGCAGCGTAGCACCGGAGAGAACGGCGAGACAATATCCGTCCATCTGCTGCGTACTCGTCCAATGATTACCGCCGAAACATATTCTGTAGCGAAACGAAGATCCCGTGTTAGGTAGTGAGATAATATCACGCCAGCGTTAAGAAACAAAGTGGGCAGTGCTGGGATTGGGTATTAGGTTAATGCTCGTCCTGAGGCCATGTGGACATAATGTAGCGACAATATGTACATATGTAGGCATGGCCACAACTACTAAGTCATAGGCCCCTGAGATAATACATAAACGTTGCACCGAATGCAACCTGTCCATTTGGTCATGGTCGATGGATGGCATTATCATGCTGATGGTATCGCATGGGGCTTTGAAACATAGAACAAGAGCCAGGGTAAGGAGCGAAGTGGGAGCCACTCGAAACAAACGCGGACCGACACCTTAACCAGAGCAATATGCGGAGACTCGCCAACTCTGATTGGAGGATAATTCTAGTCCAGAAAACCCCATCTATCAGAGGCTATGGAGAATTATAAGTCCAAAAGCTTCGACCCTTGGGGACGGGCCCCCACCCCCATTGAACTACAGTACATCTCTTTGTGGCGCCCTCTTTCTTATTCCTTTGAGGAATTTTGCTGCAAAGTATCAAGGTATCGTCAGAAAAGACAATACGCCGTTCATGGACCTGGAACCCCCAGATAATCCGTCCACTGCAAATGCATTTTTCTCTCCCTAGTGTTGGTCGCCGTGGGCCAAGGGTCGGCCGCTAGCGAGGTCAGAATTCCATGGCATAGTTATCATGCTGCTATATCGCATGGCATCAGGAAGATTGCGCGTGACGATCTGCTAAGGGGAAGAGGTTTCTAGTCACTATGTATGGGTTTGATTGGGAAATAGATGTGTTGACCGAAACGACTAAGTACGTTGGGTCAACCCCAAATCCAACCCCCACGACGGATATATTGGAACCATGGTTGATCATCCTGGCATTAGTTACGATGAGTATACATACGTACCTACGGATAATATCATAACATATAGCATTATTACGCGAAACAATCTCAGAGTATCCTCTCCATACCATCCATCTATAGCGACAACGCAGACGACAGGACTACCTACCTTATAGATAAGATATATTTCGACATTATGCAGCCTCAGATAGACTTTGTACTCCATGTCCCAACACAACGGTTGACAAGCTTAAGACGGGCGTCTCCTCGGTCGCCTGGTGGTGGAAAATATAACCTCGCCCACGCCGCTTGACTTGATCGTCTCCCTTCCACCAACGGTAACGGTCTAATCCTGGTTCATTAACCAGTCTTCGGCACCGACGCCTTTCTTCAGTATCCATTGCTCATCTCCATCCCGTCTTCTCTGTCTCCATCTTCCCAAGCCTCCTTCGCTTCGTCTCCAGTTCTCACAAGGTATCCACCGAGGACAAATCCACTGCCCTTGTCCGTCAGCTCCATCAAGTATCGCCAGGGATCGAATCCCGCCTATGTACTCCGTACGTCCCTTGTTTCGCTTCGACCATCTGAGCCGGCTCAAACACCATCCCATCGGTCAAATATTCATCGCTTGGCACCTGCTAGCGACTTTACATACATACTCTGGGTCTTGGCCTAGTCTTAGTCTCTGCATCACTTCCCTCATCAACCTCCATCCGTCCCATCATGCTATCACTGCCTTGCCTGCACTGCGCCTTATAGCCCCAGGACATATAATTCTTGCTCTGGTTAGTCGCCTTCATTCATAGGTGAGCAAGTACCCCCGAAAACTCAAAACAGTCCTACCTTCCTCTTTCTCTTCCCTCATCAAACCTCAAACTTTACCCCATACTCGGGATATCATCCCCACAACAAAGGGTCCGCACTCACTTCTTTAACCCTCTACAACTACCATTGTCGACCATTATAGAGAGATCCAGCTTGTTGCAACTCAATTCTAATAATTCATATAGAATTTCCTACTACTTTCTCTGGACAGACCTGGAATTAGAGCTACAACAGCAACTCAAAGCACGAACCGCAGCTACTCCACCATTTAATACCATACCCATATCCTCATCGCGACAACGTCGAACGTTGCGCCGCATACGAGAAACCCACCGAGAACCGATAACGAACTTGACCAAGTGCCCAAAATCAAGCATCGAACATCCTATCAAGAGAAACATCTTCCAGCGCTGTCAAGGCGCCTGCTTGGGACGTCAGTGCATTCAGTGTAGACAGAGACACTGCGAATTGCTTCAGCGCAAAGCTGTAACAACGACGGAAATCGAGGTGAAACGTTTTTGCCGCACCGAAAAAAAGAGAAACCATACAAAATGGCCGCCGTTCAATCGATACTGGCGGAAACACTTCCCGGACCGACGCCCTCAATTGCCTTGAATGGCGCCACCGAACCAACCACTATGCACATCGACCAGTCGAGTTCGAGTCCAGTAATGGTCAACGAGAGCACGTTCGGAAGTACACCGGCAAAGGGGGACTCTAGAATCGTCGTCATTGTGTATGGGCCAGGCCAAGAACACATTGTCTCGGTCTTCGCAGAGGTGCTGGGTACACCATGCAGAACACGGAATGGGTTCGAGGAGGTTTCGTCAGAGGATTCTGGTTTCGTCGTAGGAGTCGCAGCCAACGAAGCGAAGGGAGACGTTGCTGCACGCAATCGTAATCTCGTCGTTGCAATAAATACTCACTGTGTGAATCTAGGGATGCCTCCCGACACCCAACTTTCCACCCATTGCGACTACGAATTCCTCTACACCGAATCCTCGTTCTTCCGTCGTGATCTGGCTAGATTTATTTCATTTACTTTGGGTCAGATCAACTACCACGAAGCTCTCATGGCAAAGCCAAGAACCTATTTCATCTCCACCACCTTCCCGGATGTCCACGCTGCTCTGCCTAATATCGATATCCTAACTGTTGGCGCTGATGCAGTTGAGATCAGAGTTGATTTACTTAGAGAACCTCTTGGCGATGGCAGCTATTCGGAAGTCCCTAGTCTCAGCTATGTTGGAGAACAGCTCATGCTCCTCCGCCAGCGGACAGAGCTTCCCATTATCTTCACAACACGATGTGTAAGAGAGAATGGGAGGTTCCCCATGGACAAACCTGAACTGTACTACGAATACCTCTACCGTGCGATCCAGTGGGGTGTAGAATACATCGATGTAGAACTTTGGCTTCCAGAAGAGATCCGCAAGAAGCTCCATGAGCAGCGGGGAAACTCTCGCATCATGTCGGCGTTCCACGACTTTTCAGGCAATTTCAGATGGCCGTCGACGTATGCTCAGGAGGTGTTCCAAAGATCTATCCCCTACGCGGATATCATCAAAATGATTGCTATAATCAACGAACACAACGAGAACTTCGAGCTAGAGTATTTCCGTTCCAAGATGCGTTCCGAGTACCCCAATGCGCCACCCTTCTCCGCCGTCAACATGGGTGAAGTCGGTCAGTTCTCAAGGACTCTGAACCCTGTCTTCACACCTATTACCCACCCACTTCTTCCTCTCATCGCTGCTCCCGGGCAATTGAGCGCTGCCGAGATCAATGCTGCTTTATCACTTCTGGGTCAACTACCAAGAAAGCGCATCTATGGCATTAACAGCTCGTCGTCTCGAAACGCCACACCGCAGGCTCCCTTCTATGAAAAGTGTATAAACGAACTGGGTCTTCCTCATCAATTTGCAGTTGTCGAAAGACATCCAAACAACCCAAGGAGTTTGGAGACATGGTGTAATCAGAAACATTTCGGAGGCGCCTATCTCAACCCGGGTCTACCGCATAATGCATTGACAAAGATTAGCCCGTTCTTCGCTGGGTTGAACGGTGGCAACGGGCCAATCTTGACGGAGGCGGCTCGCGTTATCGGAGTTGTTGACACCATCGTGGTCCAGTCAGGTACCTCGTCCAGATCGTCGTCTCCGGGTTCAATGCCATCAAGCCCACGACAACGACAGAGCGACTCGGTTGATCTCGGCAGTCAGTCTGGTCTAGGCTCGTCGACCTCCCTTGTATTCGACAATGCTGGATGGAAGGGTATTCTCAGCACACTTACAAGAGACCTCGCGCCATCTGCGTACTTCGGCCGCTCAGCCGTTGTCATGGCATCTTCTTCAGATGATGCAGCTCCTGTATTCTTCGCCATGAGAGCTCTCAAGATCTCTAAGATCTATACTGTTGGCTTCCGTACACCTAGTAATCTTGCTCGAAATGCGCCTCCCATCGAACCGTTTATCAGCCTCGAAAGTCTGCAACGCGCACGCTCAGTGGAAAATGATAGTGCACCTTTTGTCATCGTGTCAGCTCTTGGTTCGGAAAAGAGTCATCTGGTTGGTATGTTGTTACGAGCCTTTGGAGGAGTCGGACCCAAGGCAGCAACCAACACGAAGAAGGTGTTTCTTGACCTAGCAGACGGCGCTATCAGGAAGAGTTCTGACCCAGGGCTCATCGCTGAGAAGAACGGATTCGCTGCCTATGGAGCGGACGATGTCGCAGCATTCACAACGGTCGAAAGCTTGAGGTTACTCGTGGGGCAAAATGTGCCCTATAGCTTTGTTAGACTGGCAAGCGGAAGTCATCGCTACGGCGTTTGAAAGGAGTCGGGCAAGATTTGCGAAAAAGATCACGTCAATCACCGACGGCAGGCAGCGTGCCTGTTCGCCAGAAAGGAGAACAGTGACGATACCTGCTAGGCTCATCTGCTATCGGGGTCAGTCGACTCTGGGGCATTGGCGACAGAATAGGGAGGATGTCCGAAGCGACCCAGGCTAGGCGCTTGAAGCCAGAAGATATCCATGAGGCTTCCGCTACAAAGGGCCAAGCCGGGTAACAAACGGGGAACTATCCCCGTTCTATGCGCGCCAAAGGTTCCTGACGCCAAGCGCCGACTGCCATCGAGACCGCTTGGGCGCTCTACTTTGCCTGTCTGCCAGCGAAGAAATTCTTGGCCACATTAGACTTATCGCAGTCTGGCTTCCGGCCACAGGGGTATTCGAAATCAGCCGCTCTAGGCGGCTGTCATGCGTGAGAAGAAGTCGCAGAGTCGCAGAGTTGCATCTTGGATGGATGTCGATCTGGTGTGCAGACGGCCCCTGCTAAACTCGTACAGGGGACCCTATAGAGTGGGCTCTTATTGTAACGGCGGCGGCGTGAACCGTCACCACCAATTCTAGGTCCGCCGACCTCCACAGATATGAGCGCGGAGGTTCAACTTTTTTCGTTATGAACCTTCCCGACCTGTTACGTTTATTCTTTTTAAACTAGCTATGGGTTATAAGTATAGACCTGCCCATGCAAGATTGACTACGATATGAGAATACAAGATGTATACGAGAACCAGTGGGTTGGAAATCACCTATATGTCAGCCAAATATTGCATAGACGCTTCTGGCAAATACCACCGAAGCTCAAGATGATGACGAGATTCGAAAACACTTTGCTCCACTATTTGATGTTATTTTCTTTTTGTGTACTCATTCAAAGTTTTAGAAAGTCTGAGGATCCTCGTCGCCCTGCTGACCATCCCCTTGACAGGTTGTGCCTATCTGAGAACGAGACCATTATCTGGTTCGATTAAGACTCAATCATGTTTTGCATATGGACCACCATCATTTCTCATAAACTTTTAGCTGTAAGACCTGTACATACCGTAGCCCCGCAAGGTTTCCGTGAGCCCTCCTGGCCCTTGCCAAATGCCTCATCTGTCATTTGCAGGCATCTTCTCAGGCTTCGAGTGAGATGGGTTTAGACGCTGTGTGAGATTCAGGGCGCTTGGTTGGAGTTGCTTTACCCTGGTCCATGTCAGTGGCTGTTTGCCTCGTTGCAAGTGTCGGTATCTGTATCTGTATCTGTATACCAGAGGGCCCATGGAATTTTCTATGTTTGGTTCTGTCCAAGATATTGGCGGTAAAGGGTGGCTATGGGCCCTGTTGAAGAGGGAGGGAGAGAGAGAAAGGTCATGCTGTACCCGAGTTTAGGATTGCCCGTATGAGACAAGGCATGGTGAGATAAGAGGAGCCATCCTGGACTCATTATACCGTTCCATACTCTAGATAAGGAGGAATTTTCTCAGTGAACTGAGTTCGGATAATATGCACGTCTTATCCGGCAGTTCTATTCTGTACGAACGAACCTTGGCTTGGCTTCCCTGGTCAATGGAAACCAATGCGTTACAAGTGTTAACGCCGACCGGCAAGCACATACTCTGTAGGGTGTATATTGTTAGATGAACACGGGAAGAAAGCAAGTAAGAAACCAAAAGCCGCCCGTTTCGGAGAGGCGGATCTTGTGTCTCTTAATGAACGATCAAGGACCCGTATATGTTGAATCGGAGAACTCTAGCATGGTCCCTTCTTAGAGCAAGAAATAGGGGCGTGAACGGAGGTGAAAGGGCTATCGCATGTACTGTGTGTATATGTATGCATACTGAGGACTGAATGAGAGGAGACGAGACGAAACGAGATGAGATGAGATGAACGAAACAATACCATGCTGTTCTCCCTCATGAGGCCCAGTAAGTTCAGATGATGAGAGGACCGCTGCAGATGCCTCGACAAGGTAAAAACAAGTACGTAGTGTCACTTCACGCGTGGCCATTACTGGTTTGTTTGCCACAGACAGCCTGACCCCTGGTTTGAGCCAAGCTGCAGCCATCTTTGAACATGGAAACATGCTAATGCCGCAGTGAGAGGCATCTAGACTGCAAACCCACACAAATGGGGCTTGCAGAGAGACAAACCCGCCACGAGGTTTATGACACGCCTTGGTAGCAAATCAAGATTGAAGTGTATCAGTTTGAGTATAGTTAGGCTTCGAGGGCCGCCTATCCAGATGATGTAAACAGAAACCGGTAAATGGATTAAATGTAAGTCATCAAGGCCATTCCAGGGGCGGGTGGGGATGTGATAGAGATGATGCAGTGCATACAAGTATGGATGTATGAAGTGACAAATCTCAAGCGCCTATGAATAAAATGTCTCCGGTGAGTATCGCCCTAACTGCTGATTCTCTGGCGAGCGATAGGTCGGTATATTCTCTTTGCACCTTTACAAAGATCTGGCGACAGATCACCATGACCAAGGCTAAAGCCATTCAGGGTCAGCAACAAGTTCCAGAAATGCCATGATAGCTAGTCTGCTACAACGTGGAACTGGTCGATTGATATACACACAAAATGGCCAGCTAAGCTTAGCTCGAGTACTTAGTCGTGTATGGATATCGTGAGCGGCTACACCTCGAATGCTATGGTAGCAGACTCACTGATACCTGGTGATGACTGCCAGTATCGCCCAGTCACCATGACAGACTGTTGTCTGGAGTTCGAATCATATGAACACAACGATTACAGTTCTAACTGCCACGCTCAATAGTCCTGACAAAGGGCAGCTGAATTCTGAATCCAAGCGAACAGGAGAACCTCCACGTCTAGGTGGAGAATGGAACCACTGTGAGTTTGTATCCTGTCTGTTTGTCCTGACCTGGCTGCCATTAGGTGTGCGGAACTGGGCAGGAATTGCAAGTGCTGATAATGAACTAGAGCCTAAGAGCTGCAGTATTAAAACAGCGACTGAGCAGCTGAGAGTACCCAAGTCGACTTCGTAGAGCATAGGGTGAATACAAGATGCACTGATCAGTTGTACACCACAACTATTCGCCGTAACCAAGCTCGATACTGTAACCCATCTCATGTTGCCGATAGCAGCGTATCCTCGTGAGCCAAGATCTTGGACAGCTCTTGAATGAGTTGCCATAGCACACATGATAGGTTCCAACAATGATGTTGATAACAGACGTTTATCATGGACTGGAGATAATTTGGTGTCCTGTAACAGGTATGTGGATATGGATATAGCCTTTCGTGATACGCAAGTGTTCGGCGCTCTCTGGGTTACCCACTCTCACCTCTATCCAACAGAAGACACTGAAGTAGTGCAAAACCCATGGCTGAGGTTGTAGCAATTAGAGCATATGCTTTCGTGTAAGGCCCAGCAGAAACCCAGCAATCCACCGAGAAGGCCACCAAGAAGTGCTAAAGTTCACGTCATTTGTTTGTGAAAGTGAAGACGATGATCTCAAACAAGCCACATCCAAATACGCGACTGGTTTCATATTTAGGTGAGCCACTCAGGCTGGCTTTTCGTGTGCTAGTTAGCTCAGCAAAGACAAAGTCGTCAGGCTCAAGACTTGGGAGTGTGAGAATGGTTCGATACTTGGCCAATCTACTCCATATACCGGGTACGAATCGAGCACCTGGGGTAAAGTGGATGTACCCGGTAGAGACAGGAAAGGCCAGTGAGAACCAGCATTGATAGGCCTGCACAGTGTCCTTCTAGAAAACCACGGCGCCAAGCTCTGGTCCAAACAGCCGTGGAGACTTCGCAAGCCGGGAACCTGTTGGGTTTAGCCTATTTATCAAGCTTCAATGCACTCGGCATTGACTATACGTACCACACTTCAAGCACTGGCCAGTCTTTAGTGTGAACATTGACGATTAGCACCACGTCACAATAGCAGAGTTCGAGAGGTTTGGACAGGGTACCGAGGCGAGGTCTGGTGCGGCAGAGGCAAAGCCACCTAAACGTGGATTGACAAGGATACTGAGAAACTCATGCACAAACCCAGGTTTCAAACGGCCTCAAGGTCCAAATCGGGGGACAGAGCCGATGTACCATGAGAAGTGCAAAAAAGCACGCACCACACGCTGATACTAGCTAGGCCTGCTAGGATGCCAGTAGCCTCATGACGACTTGAAGCCTATGGCCTATGAAGCGGAAAGGAGGGGCCAAACTTTACAAGAAGGACAGTAGGAGACTAGATAGGTATAGTCCTCCCCAATCTCTCAGCCCTGATCAACAAGACATAGAGAATGGTGAAGCGCCAGTTCTTCAAATAAGCCTTGTTTGTGGCTGCCGAAGATTCTGGTGTATCCCCCACATATGCAGGTCCGATGCGTCCATGTCTTGTTTGCTTTTTTTTTTTAAGATATAGTTGTGAACTTCTATAACAGGGCCAGTACAGTATCGATCCCAAGTCATGAGACTTAGCTTAGTTGATAGTCAGCCCTGCTGATCAGTTTCAAGGGTGCTCCGAGAACGAGAGAAAAAACCGAAGAGTTCAGCTAGATCGAAATGCGAGGAGGGTGTTGCCGATAGCTCCTCGCGGCTCCGTTGAACCTGCTACTTGCCAGGGGACATCTCGGCCGGAGTGGAGTGTCGTTGGAGTGCTCACGTCAAGCTGGGAGGATGAACATTCGTCGTATTATAACCAGTTAGTGCCGTAGAGCCCCTGAGACACAGGAATGAGGACTGAGCGTTAATGGAAATGACCCTGATAAACAACAATAGTAGCAGCCGCTAGATCCCACCAACTTGAGTAGAGCGTGGCGCTTAGGAAGTCTCATTAATTCTTATTGCTCCCGCTAGTCTCTCGGCCGACTTTCGAAAGCTTAGATCATGCAGCTCCGAACTGTGGACACCAATACTTATGGATAGTTTCCGCTTGGTAATAATAGGTCGAGCCAGGAGCAACTACAAGGGGGACGAAAGAACTTCTCCGCAGATATCCACACGTCCGGAGTTGCTGTTGCTATGCGCCC